AGCTCTAGACTTGTTGGATGAAGTACTACGAATTTTATATTATATCTCTTTAGGTAAAGTGTTTTACCTCTGAATCTTCATGCTATTTTATGTTCTGAATAATATGCGTTGATAAGAGCTGGAATCAGGTATAGTGGCACTTGCCCAGAAGTTTAGAGGCAGAGATAGGTAGATCTCTATGAGTTCAAGGTCAGCGTGGCCTACGTAGTAAGTTTCAGACCAGTGAGAACTACAAAGTGAGACCTTGCTTCAATAAAACAAAGCAAAACAAGACAAAAAAGAAAAACAAGTTGTATATTAAGCCATTGTTGTTTAACTGAATTTATTGACATATGTATTACACACACATTACTTTTGATGAATTACCCATTTAGCAGTATGCATCATTATTACTCCTGTTTTTTGAAGTCTGTTGTGTTAAGTAGGAGTACAGATACTCTATCTTTCTTTCATATTTCATTCATTTGGAGTATTATTTTCATCTCTTTGATTTCATTCTGAAATCATGAATCTGTCAGTGGAAATGTGTTTCTTGCACACATCCAACAGTTGGAGGATGCTTTGTCACCCCATCAAGTGGAATTAAGACAGTTTATATTTAAGATTACTATTGAGAGATATGTACTAATCTTATAATTTAGTGGGTTTCCCAGTTGATTTGAGTAGAGACTCTTCTTTATTCATCTAAAAGTGTACTGGGTCATTGAGTTGGAAATGTTTGAATCTTTCTTAATCCAATTTCTCCATTCTTCTCATTAGATTTAGTCTTTCCTAAAGCCTCATGATTTCAAATTTCTTTTTCACACATACTTGGTGGCATCTTTTTTTCCACTGGCATCTGAATGATACAAACATATGTTAGAAAGATCACATTCCCCAAGGCACTTCAGCTCATTGTCAAACTAACAGAGTATATGTGCTGAAGGCAGTTCTAGACCAGCTTCCTCAAAGGGCTTGAGGTCTAAGCTCACACTCAGACATGAGCTCTGGAAAAGGAAGAGCAGAACAATTCAGTGCATACTGGCATGCAATCCGGTCCCACGAGGGTCTGCATCTTATTTTACTTTTTCTTCCTGCTGCAGAAGATGAAGCTAAGCATTCCATTGGTTGAAGAATCATGGAGTTCATTGCAATGTGGCCCCAAACCTCAAGTTTGAATTTTTTAGCCAGCTTCTTTAACTCCCCTTAACATCATTTATCCATTTGCTATACTTCTTAATTTACTGTTGTACACTCTTGTAGTGAGCTGGGCATTTTTTACATAACAGGAAAAATGCTTTATGTCTTCTAAAGCCACTCTACTTTCCAGTTTTCAAATTTAAAATGGAGACCCAGTACTTCTATTCTGATAAATGAAGCTGTTCTCACACAGGTCTTCATAAGAAGTGTCATTCCCTCATTATACTCAATGTTTTTCTGATATCATGATTCCCTCATGATAATCAATTTTGAATCCATTTTTTCCCCATTTGATAGACTCCTCCCATGACTATTGTTCACAATGAGGGCTTCCATTGTCCTAAATCTGAAAAGAAATCTCAGCCCTAGGGCAGAAAGAAAGTTGAAAGCCACATCTTTTTCTGACATTGACTTAGATAGTGAGTATCTGTGCTGGGGCCACCAACTATTTCAGAGGCAGTAGAGAAACTCTTTTGGAGGCTAGCCAAGTAAATACATTCCTCACTCTGGGTGATTCTTTTTAGCTGCATCTGTTTCCCCGCAAATTTCATGATGTCATTGTTTTTAACAGTGGAATAATAGTCTACTGTATAAATGTACTACATTTTCTCTACCTATTCTTTGGTTGAGGGAGATCTAGGTTGTTTGCACAGTCTGGTTACTGTGAATAAAGCTACTATGAACATAGCTGAGCAAGTATCTTTGTGGTAGAATGGCAAACTCTCCTTCTTAATTGTTGAGGAATCATGTCCTCTGTGTGACTGCCACAGTTTCGTCATCCCAGCCTTCATTGGTGCATGTCTAGGTTGCTCTCATGCCTTGAATGTTGTAAATAATGCTTTGTTAAACAAGCAAAAATGTGTCTTTATTAGAGTTAGAATGTGTGACCTCTGTCTACTATTTTATTTTTATCTCATGTATCTTTTTCAAAGTTTACATCTTTAGTGATAGGATGAGAGATTTTTGTTAATTATGTTTTTCTAGTTTTGTAAGTATTTCTTTCAAAGTGAGTATCCAACAGCAATATAATTTAGTTCTTCTCACTAAAATGCACTGCAAGTCAGTATGTTTTGATTACCATATGTTATAAAGAGAAGACAGATTATCTTATTATATGAGAGCTTGATCTATGGTTCATTGGTGTTATGACATGAGTGGAATATAATGGAGATTAGAGTGGTAGAATGAGAGATTTTTTTGCAATTTTATGGTTTTCTTTTTTTCTGTAATTATTAGCTACAAACATTTTATATGTGTGATATAGAAGATGGATTAAGGTAACAGGTTATGAGATATCTCAGATTTTAATTCTGTGTGCTACCTGTACCTAGTTAGCATTTAACATTGGTACATTTTTGTGTGAGTTTATGATGCATGTTTTTCACATTCTAGCCAAATTTTATACCAGGGAAAGACACCAGCTGTACACTATCCCAGTGTTCATAAGGAACACTTTAGCATCTTCCTGCATGAGGAAGAGAATAATTCCTGTCCAGCTTATAAATTCTGGAGTGGGCTACTGAAAAAGAAATGCAGGTATGACACTTATAAATTTTAGTTATCTTTTTCAAAGAACTATTTAGAAAAATATGACAAATTTAAAAATTTTGCTTAATTGCAGTCAAGTTTATAAATGCTTATATTTTGTTTTTGGTGATGGGCCTAATAGACCTCCTGTACCATTCAAATGGTATTACACATAGTGATGTTGCCATTCATGTAGGTACTCAATCCCACACACTGACTTTTCAGTTGTTTTGTAACATTTTAATCTAAATTAATATTAGAGTAAAACAAAATTGTAGTAATATCACCCGCCACATGGACGTGAAACAAAATTACTTATACTATAGGACAGGAATTACATCAATTTGAACATTCCATGTATTTCAGAGTTCTGGGCTGGCTGTTGAAACATGGGCAGAGGGAGGATCCTGCTTCCATACAGAAAGCAATGAGATCTGAGTTCACCCAAGTTTGTGCCGGGAGCCAAGGCTATGTACTGAAGACAAAGTCAATTAGTGAGCCAAAGCTAGTTAGTGGAGACAAAGCTATTTACTAAAGCCAAAGTCAAATAGTGAGCAAAGGTCATTTAGTGGAGACCTAAAGCTATTTAGTGAAAGAATTACCTAAGACCCTAAATCATGGGTGATAGATTTGTGAGGACATCGTCTGTTAGTTTTAGAGCATCTGTGAGTTATCTTAAGAAAACATCCTTACGGTATCTTGCAGGTGCAATATTTACCCCATGGAAGCAGTCTTCCTATCTCCTCAGCAGTAAATTAACCTTCCCCCTTTCCCGCCTTCTCCCTATATAAGTTGGGTAAAAATTTCTAATAAATGAGGCCTTGATCAGACAAACAGACTTGGCTCCATTCTTCCTGTCTCTTTTTCCCTTCTCCCCCCCATTCCTTCCACTCCCCTTTCTTTAAGAAGCCGTTGAAGTCCCGTGGGTCAGGGCAAGCTTTTTCCTTTCATAACAATGCTCACAAACCCCTAGAGGTCACACGAGAACTACCTTAGAGCTTACCTACAATTCCCTAAGGACCTGCCATTAGCCTTCTTCTCTTAAAAGTGCCACAGAACCTCTCAAAGTTGTCATCCTGGGTGAATAAGTGCCCACCATGTGCTGGGCAGGACACAGTAAAGCCACATCCAAAGCATAGCATTCTTCCCACAGCCTTGCAGGGACATGTCCGTCATGTATTCAGAATAAAATCACATTTTTAAAAACTGGAAAGGAACTTAACGTGATTTGAAGAACATGAAGATAAATTATAAAAAAAAAAAAAGACTTAAAATCTAAACACTTACATTCTAAGAATGTAAAGATTAACAGATTTATGAAGTGAGGTAGAAGAACATGTATACCCATGCTGAACTCTGCATTTCATGAGGTGGGTGGGCCAACACACCGATTCATACTGATGAAATTAAACAAAAATAACATTTCCATTTATTTAGCTATTCGTTTCTATTCTATTAGCTAGTGCTAATCACAGTGATAGTAGGAGAAAGCCACTTACCCAACTTATTTCCAAATCTAAAGCAAGCCTTTTTACTTGTGCACCAGGCTGCCCTGGCTAAGGAGGTATTCAAGAGGTCAACATTAGATGTAAGAAAGATAAGGGTTTTACAGAGTTCTGGTGTAGAAGGGTTCCAAATGGGTTAAATGGGAGAGGTTATAGGAGCAGAACATAACAGGTGTTCAAAACAGGGTAATCACAACAGGTAGTCATAACTAGATCATCATTGGTGGTCATATAGCCTTATGAAATAAAGGTAGGTTATAAGATGGTTATGAACAACTTTTGAAACAAAGACATTAAAGGGAAACTAGCACATTTATGCCTGTGGCTCTGACAGACATTGCCCTTCTTCCCAAATCCTCTTCCTTACCCAAAACCATTCGATTAAATTCCTAATGCTAGCCACCAATGTCTATTTTCTTATTTGGCCACTTCCTTGCCCTGAAGATGACTACCAAGGTCCCACTATCAAAGTATTGAAGTCCAGTAATCAAAAGCTTCCTTTGGTTTGCTTAATTAACATGCTCAATTAAAATTAAACACCTCATCCAAACATGGGGTTTTGCCCTTTACCTTTATGAATCGCTATTTCCCTACGTGTCACTTTTGTCTCTTCTTTATCCAGAGATAGTCCTTTGTTCCCTGGGACAAGTACCCATAACCCTTCTCCCTTGCCCCTTTCCTCCTGTCTCCTTTGTTTCCTTCTCCTTCTTACTCTTCTTATATCTCCTGTCTTTGTCCCTAATTACTGCCCTCTATCGTTCTGGAAGAAATAAATCTTTGTGCGAGAACATGGTCTTGGAGTGTCTTGAGCCAATGATGGTGTTTCCTACAGACATGATTACCATTCCTGGAACAGGAAGTACAGAACCCTTTGTAGTTAAGGTTACAGGTGGTGTACAGCCCAAACTTCGAAAAACAGCAATGAATCTAGTTTATCCTTACTATGAGTTGGCTTTCAGGCTTAAGCCTGAGGCAGGCTGGCTCTTCACCAGTAAGGAAAATGAAGATAGGTAAGAGTTGGAATTTAGAACACCTGCAGAGGATTCAAGGGGACTATCGGTTTGAATGCCATTTGGAAGAAAGGCACGCTGTGTACAGCACCTCTGTGAAAGTATCAATAGTGGCACCATCTTCACTCTGCAGAGCCCTGCCAGGCTGCCAGATATGCACGTGCTTCAGTTATAAAGTCCCACACCCCAAGCTGAAACTGCTCTAAGATGCCATGATGGAGACTGGCCCTTAATGGAGAGGATAATTACTTGTAGGGTGGGACCAGTAAGGATGGGATGAGAGAGGGGGATACGTGAGGCATGTATGTGTGTGCCTCAGTTATACAGTCACACTCCCCAAGCTGACACTGCTCAGTGTTGCTACCTATGATGGGAGTTGGTCATTAAAGGAGGAAAAAGTAATTATTTGGAGATAGGTAGAGCTAAAAGGACGGAAAGGGAGAGCCAATATGTGAGTGGAAATAGGGAAGATGCCAAGAAACATCTTAGTGGGCATCTGGACTCAAAGGTCTCTGGTGTGTGACGTGTTCCCAGTATATATACTGGAAATCATAAGATGTGCTCAACATTTTTATAAGACTCACTTGGGTCAGAAACATTTACTTGGCTCCTAAACACAAATCCCAATTCCAGAACGAGGAAGCAGAGTCTAGAATCAATCTGTGGAAAGATCTTCTACCTTGGTCATCTCTCTACCTCTCAACCAGAAAATGGAAGAAAGGTAAGGATGTATCCCAAGAATGTTCACAGTTACTGTCATGTTGCTTTTCTGAGTTCACATCCCTGTGTTGCTGCCACAAAATGCAACACGCAGGGTCTAGGAAGGCATGAGACAAAAGCTTCCTTTTGAAGTAGAGATGGCCTGGCTTAAACACTTTTTACTTTCTCTTAAATCATTCATAATCATGACTGTCATTCCTTTAAAAGGAAAGGTGATGTGCATATTTTGTTTCCCAGGGCAGAATCCATATAAAAGTTAATTGTTGGTTCTCAAAAGTGATCTGCCATGTGTGTACATTGCATTCAAGAAGAAACAGATAGTTAGAATTTGAATAACTGAGGATACCACAGGAAGTGTTTACTTACAAAGACCAAAGGTCTTAGGAACAGTGGAAATGCCTAGAGAATCACAAGAAAGCAAGAAAATGGGACAAGTTGACCTATCCTTGGTTCCAGTAAGCAGCAGAAGTGGAGGAGGAGAGAAGGGGGCATAGTCCCAGCTCAGTAGTAAGAGTATATAAGTATAAGCACAGGGCAGCAATGCTCTGGTCAACAGAGAGCTGACCAGGAGAGAGATAAGAAAGAAAAATCCCTAGCCTCTTCCCTCCTGCTCTCCAGGGTGCTTGCAATGTCATCAACTCCCTCAAGCAAAAAGAAAGTTACAGAAAAGAAACACTGTCAGATAAGGTACTTCTGTAAGATGTCAGGTAGCAGAGAGAAGCACTTTCTCACTTGCAAGTTTTCTTCTACCATGTTGTTCAGATCATTTAACTGTCATCAGATCATCTTTTCTCTCATCTCCTTCAGATATTTTTGTCTTGTTTGCATTTTACTCTTCTAATGCTGCTTTTATGAAGGTATTACCCAGAATAATCAAAATAACTTGATATTAGACTAAAACATATGCAGGTAAACATACTTCTTATTGGCTTTAGTAGAAGAGTGGTTTCTCAAATGCAGAATTATGGAATAGTACATTACCAAGAAAGCCGTCATGCATGGGATGGCAGCTGCACCATGTCAGACCCAAGAACTGCATGCAGCATTTCTGTTCTTCAGACCTAAAGGGGCAGCAACACGCTGTGGTCAAGGACCCCCAGCCACATTAGAGCATCATTGTAGGGAAGATACACAAGGAATGGGGTAGAGAGAGCTGTTCCTATAAACTCCTGCCACAGCCTTATTTCATTTCTCCAGTCATCGCTGAATCTTCAGTTTCTGTTAATGTTTTTTGTCATTAGATTGAGAGAGAATGGAAATTGGGATCCATTTTAAGTTAAAATTCAGATAATTTTATTATGGATAAATTAAGGGCCTTGAGCTCTCTGGCAATCTATAAAGGTCTAGAAGGTCTCTCAAGCATTGTATCACATGAAGATTTTTGGTACATTCTCAAAAACAGTAGACAACAGTGCAGAACAGAGAACCAACATCAGAAGAGATGTAGAAGACAAAAAAAAATCAAGGATCTAATTTTTAATTTTTTTATTTAATCACTTTACAGCCTGATCCCAGCCCCCATCCTCCCCTCCTCCCAGTCACACTCCCATGCCCCTCTCCCGCTCCCCCTTCTTCTTCTCAGAGAATGGGAGTCTGTTTCACATGCTGCACCCTCTTTCCTTCCTTCCTCCTGCCTCTGCTGAGCAATCATCTCAGAAATACATCCATCCACAGGCTGTGCACCTAAGTGTGTCCTGCTGTTCAACAAAGCTGATTTGGGTCCTATGTCAATGTTCTGCCCACGATCAACATTAATTGTTCATGCATGAGTAATTCTGAAAATACTCAGGACTGTCCACAAAGAATGTTAAGAATATTGAGAATTTCTTTATAGCTTTGTCTGTGATACTCAATGACTTTTGTTGCATTTGCCTTTTTAATTTACACATGACCCACCATCTAATACTGTAAAGATTTGCATACATGTATCCATTCATGAATAAACAATGTCAAGGTCTCACACAATCTGAGCATGGGGATATAAAAAAGTTCTATTTTCACTGTCTGACCTACTGAGACATTTCTAGGACATATGGTTTTTAACTAAAGGTAAAATGAAAATTTATCCTTTAAATTTGGATTCTTTTCTTTCTCTTGACTTACTGATTTTATGAAGATTTTAAGCACTATGTTGAATATAACAGGTCAAGGGGATATATTTGTTAAACAATTCCCTGTTGTCCCAATTCAGAGAGCTGTTGTCTACCTATTTGTAACATATTGCTTTTACCATGTTAGGCTATATTATTTCTTTTACAGTTTCTTCACAGATTATCATCTTGGATGACATTCAGTCTTCTGACTTCACTTGCTACATCTTTTGAAATGATAAACTTTTCCTTGATACTTTGTCTTCTTCCTTCCTTCCTTCCTTCCTTCCTTCCTTCCTTCCTTCCTTCCTTCCTTCCTTCCTTCCTTCCTTCCTTCCTTTTTCTTTCTTCTTTCTTTCTTCATCTACAATGTTACCCAAGCCTCAAGGAAGATGATAAAATTTATTTTCTTAGGGCTAAGCACGCAACCAGTACTTATCCTCAGTACCTTGTCCACTGATGGGGTGGTCCTCCTCCCCTTCCATCTGACCCTAGCTTATCAGGTCTCATCAGGACTGGCTTCATTGTCCTCCTCTGTGGCCTGGCAAGGCTGCTCCCTCCTCAGCAGGAGGTGATCAAAGAGCCAACCACTGAGTTCATGTCAGAGACAGCCCCTGTTCCCCTTACTAGGGAACCCATTTGGATACTGGGCTGCCATGGGTTACTCTGAGCAGGGTTCTGGGTTATATCCATGAATGTACCTTGGTTAGAGAATCAGTCTCAGGAAAGACCCCTGTGCCCACAGTTTTTGGTTCTGTTGCTCTCCTTGTGGAGATCCTGTCCTCTCCAGGTCTTAATATCTCCCCCTTCTTTCACAAGATTCCCTGAACTCTGTCCAAAGTTTGGTTATGAGTCTCAGCGTCTACTTTGATACAATGCTGACTAGAGTCTTTGAGAGACCCTCAGTGGTAAGCTCATGTCTGGTTCCTTGTTCTCTCCCTCTACCTATGTCTATCCTGTTTGCCATTCTGAATAAGGATTGAGGATCTTACATAGGGTCCTCCTTCTTGATTAGCTTCTTTGGGTGTACAGATTTTAGTGTGTTTATTCAATATTATATGTTTAATATCCACTTAAAAGTGAGTATATACTGTGTGTGTCTTTCTGCTCCTGAGATACCTCACTCAGGATGATCTTTTCTAGATCCCACAATTTGCCTGTGATTTTCATGATTTCCTTGTTTTTAATTGCTGAGTAGTATTCCATTGTGTAAATGTACCACAATTTCTGCATCCATTCCTCTGTTGAGGGACATCTGGATTGTCTCCAGATTCTGGCTATTACTAATAAAGCTGCTATGAACATGGTTGAGCAAATGTTCTTGTTGTGTACTTGAGCATATTTTGGATATATGCCTAGGAGTGGTATAGCTGGATCTTGAGGTACATGCAAATAGATCCATATTTATCACCTTGCACAAAACGAAAGTCTTCATTGAAAGTGTCATTCCCTTCATGATTCTCATTCTAATTCCATTCTCCCCATTTGATAGACCCCTTCCAGTGACTGAGGGAATATATGGCTTGTGTCATATTTCTATATGAGAAGAAACCCCAGCCCTCCTTATGAACCTGTTTCAAATATTTACACATAGTCACATGGTCCTGACAAAGAGTATGGTGTGCTCATATCTCTGTTTCATTTGCAGGAACACGAGTGGAAAATTCCAAAGCATTGGTCCAACCACCCCGGCCTGGAGCACTGCCAACACAGTAGTGAATGGAAGTGACTATATGGAAAACTTGTCCTGTGTCACCATGTTTAATACGCTGAATATTCTTACTGCCATCATTTCCCTGGTTGGGCTGGCAGGAAATGCCATAGTGCTGTGGCTTCTAGGCTTCTGCATGCACAGGAATGCCTTCTCAGTCTATGTCCTCAACCTGGCTGGCGCTGATTTCTCCTACCTTTGTTTTCAGACTGTGTATTCCCTGGAGCGTATCTATTCTCACATCTATAAAAGCAACTTCTACATTCCCATCTTTCTTTTTAACGTATTAATCTTTACTTACCTTGCAGATATGTGTATGGTCGTAGTCATCAGTGCTGAGCGCTGCCTGTCTGTTATGCAGCCTATCTGGTATCGCTGCCAACGACCAAGACACATATCAGCTGTCATGTGCGCCCTATTCTGGGCTTTCTCTCTACTGTTGAGCCTTCTGTTAGGGGAGGGTTGTGGCTTACTGCTTAGTGATTTTGATTATTCTTTCTGTAGGACTTCTAGTTTGGTCACTGCTGTATTTGTAATAGCATTATTTGTGGTTCTTTCTGGGTCCAGCCTCGCCTTGTTTGTCAGGATCTTCTGTGGCTCACAGAGGATTCCTGTGACCAGGCTCTATGTGACCATTACACTCACAGCACTGGTCTTCATACTTTTTGGTCTGCCCTTTGGTATTCACTGGTTCCTCTTAGATTGGATTGTGGAGTTGCATGGTAGTTTCGCTTGCAATACTTACGAAATGACAACATTCCTGTCCTGTGTTAATAGCTGTGCCAACCCCATCATTTACTTCCTTGTTGGCTCCATTAGGCACCGCAGGTTCCAGAGGAGGACTCTCAAACAGCTTCTGCAGAGAGCCATACAGGACACCCCTGAGGAGGAAGAAGGTGGAGGGAGGAGTTCTTCAGCAAAGTCTGGGGGCCTGGAAACAGTCTGGTGTAGCAGCTCTGTGAGTACTTGACCAGACACAGTTGCTTTCAGAGTCAACTTTGCCTTTACCTATGTGGGCCATTCTCACAACCTTGTTCAATTGGTAGAGAAAATAGACATTTTATAGAAATTGGGTGAAATGGGGCTTGTTAAACAGAAACTTACTGTAGCACCTTAAGGTTTCCTTATTTGGTCCTTACTGCATCTCCTTATGATGTAACCCTTGTAATCACTTGGTGCCAGGACAGCTCCCACTGTGAAAAAACACCCTCAGACAAAGCTCAAGGCAGTGCCAGAAAGGTCTGAATTTCTTTGGTCACTGAACTTGAAAAAGATTAAATGAATACTATATATTATAGAAATGTCCCTGTTTTTACAAGGTATTTTCTAAATATTAAGAAAAATTAATTGAAACTCCCACAATTCCAGTTTCCTTCAGTATATACATACTTTACAATATATGTATGATTTTAAAATGTTTCTTATATAAATTACTTAGTAAACAAATACACATCTTTAAAATTGCCTATTCTAAATCTCCATCCACCCACTGGGGTCTTCAACTTCAAGTATCTGCCATCTTCAGCATTGAAAGAGTAAAGATAGATTTTATATACCAACATCCAAGCAGACTCAAAGGTTGGAGACTGACTCCAATTTCACTTTTTAATGCCTTGGTTAACATTCCATTATCATGTCTTTTCTCCTCCTCCCATGTCTTTGCCCTGATTCTCTTTCTCTATGACTGTGTAATCCCTCATGAAAACAATTTCCAATGAATGTCATTGAATTTATTACCTCTTGGAATTGAATCTCTGTCAGATTTACATTATTCCCAGAAGTGCAAAGCATCCTTAACTTGAATTCTGCATGTTTAAATACATTTTATTTTTTATATGTTTCAATTGAAATAGAATGACATCACTGTCTCCATTTCCTTTCCTCCCTCTAGCCCTTCCCAGCTATCCTCCTTTAAGCCCTTTCCATGTTTCCATTCTTAAAGAAATAGCTTCTTTATTTTTGATTATTACTGTTACACACAGACACACAATCACAGACACACCTATAAACATACATACAAACACACACACATATACAAATGCTGAGTCCATTTTTGTTGTTTCTGTGTATTTCAAGGTTGAGCATTCTGCATTTGACAACCATTAACGAAGCTTACCACTAGGGGAAGTTAATTCTCCTTTTCTTAGTAGTCATGAGTTGCTTGTAGTTTTTTGACTAGGAGTGGGACCCTGTAAAAATGGCCTCCTTCCACATTAATATGTCGCTTGATATTGCCATTGTCCCTATCTTGTTTACAAGGTAATTTCTAGGTCAGACAGTTTTGCAGCAGATTTCCTGCTGTTCTTGCTCTTACAATCTTTATGCAACATGATGTTCCTTGAGTCATAGAAACAGGAGCTATGACAAAATGAATCCATTGGCCTGGGCTACCCATAATCTGTTGATCTTTGCATTGTGTCCAGCTGTGATTTTGTGTTATGGTCTCCATTAGCTATAGAGAGAAGGTTCTTTGATGAATGGTGGTATCTACACATATCTGTGGGTATGAGAATAAGATTTCGAACGTAGTAAGGAATTATACTGGTCTAACAAAGTGAGAGTAGTAGATTTTTTTTCCTATTGTTCATGAACCCACTGTTTCCCTGGAGACTGGCTAGATTTCTAGTTCTAAACATCACTCTTGTTGACTGAACTTTGAGTCCAATTAGACAGCTGTTGGTTGTCACTGACATGTGACACTCTTTGTACCTTTATGCATATCTTGCCATTCTGGTAATTGTGATTCATGGGTATTGTAGGGTTGTTTCATTGCTTCATTCCCTTGGCAGTCTGCACAGTATTTTCCAGAACCATGGAAGCCAGACTGTAGGACAGAGGTCACATCAAGCTCAAACCAACTGAATTCTTTGTCCTGAATGTGAGATGTCTTCAGCAATGGTATCCACCCTCAACCACTTAGAGACAACTGAGGGTTACACCTACAATACAGATTGCTTTGGGAGTCACAGGGATACTCTGAACAACCATTCAAAAGAAGTTTCTCATGCCTGGAAGTGGTTCTTATTGGGATTATTTTCAGTCCAAGTGGCTTAACTTTTAAATATGTGTGTATGAACATACATAAATGTGTGTATATACATATATAACATATGCATACATACACACACACACACACACACACACACATATATATATATATATATATATATATATATCATGTAGTATATATAATTTTTGGGAAATAGAAAATAATACAATTTCTTATGGCCTTATCAAACAACCTTCCTATCATTTGTACTTTGTCTCTCCTTTTCCATCTATATTGACTTACAATCCTCCTCCCAAGACAGGTCCCCTCCTCATTATTCCATTTCTTACTTCATATCATCTATAATCCTGATATTCTCTCCTAAGCCTCTAACATATGGTTCCTTATACTGTTCTGGTTTGTGGTTATTACACATTGTATGTGTACATTTGAGGACATAGAACTGGAAACTACAGATAAAGAAACCATGTGGCATTTGTGTTTCTGGGCAATTTGCTAAGGAACTGAGACAAATAATTGATAAGTGGCATTTATAAAATCAAAAAGCTTCTGTGTGGCTACAGAAAGAATCAGCCAGGTAAAGACGAAACCCACAGAATGCGAGATAACCTTTGCCTGTGATACAACTGGCAACATGCCTAAAATCAACAAAGCAACTGACAGCAAATTTTGTCAAGATGATGGAGAAAACAGGCCTTCCCACTGACTCTTGATAGGTAGACACTCTGAAAATCAAGATGGAGATTCTTCAAAAGACTGAAACTGCATCTACCATATGACTCAGTGATGGTGCTCGATGGCATATGACCAGAGAAAAGAACACTCTCTTCCATAGATACTTGTTCACTAGTGCTCATTGCCACCTTATTCTGTGAATACAATAGCTGGGAAATGGAAACAATTCTAATGTCTTCAACTGATGAACGGATAATGAAACTGTGATACATGTATACAATGGATACCATTCAGCTGCAAAGAAAAATGAAATCATGAGGTTTGCAGATAAAAACAACCTAGAAATGTCTTAAGTGAGATAACATTTTCCATAAAATATTTCAATCTTAAATGCTTTTACATTTGTTAATTTAAAGTAAAGTGTAATTAAGAAAAACAATATTCACAGATTCAACAAATTCAGAGTTCAACGAATTTGCTTGAATAATTGTAACTATTTGACTCCAAGCCCAATCAACATTTAAAATACCCCCTTGCCTCAATGAGTTCTCACTGTTCCTCCAGTCATAGCTCTGCCTTGGAGGTCAGCAATGTTCATATTTGTGTCTTAATGTAAAATTGAGAGTAAAACCTATCATTTTTTCTCCATATATCAATACCTACTTCTTTAGGGGAAACTCCTAAATATAGTGCACTTTTACCACATAGGAAGCTTGTGTTGTAAATTACTTTCATCTCATTTACATATTTGTCATTTTTTATTTTTGACATGTTTTCTCATTTTCTTTTACCACAAAGATTTAGTAACCATCATATCAGGTGGTCTGACTGTACATATTGACTCTTTAAAATACATTCTATATGTAAATGTGATTTTGGGTAGTCTTTCTGTACATATTGATGCTTTAAAATACATTCCATATGTAAATGAGGTTCCAATTGAGTTAAATGGTGACTCCACTTAAAGTATATATGTATCTGTTTTAGGAAGTAGTAGGTTTTTGGAAAGCTTTTCAAAAGACCTATGTTGTTATAGGCCTTTTTTCCTATATATGTCCTTCCCTGCATTACATCCTCTACCCTGCTCTCCTATTGAACTTGGGCTTTGAAAGAAGTTGAAATGTAAGTATTCTGTGACTGTGGAATATAGACTACATGAGTTTTACATTATGAAATGTGCATGACACTTTGGGATAAAGGGCAGAATGTTAAGGTCTGAGTATCAAAATTCTTCATAGACTTTTGCTTTAAAATCTTATTATCCAGCCGGTGATTCTATTTTGAGATATTATACAAACATTAAAGCCTAACTAGTGGATCTAAGCCCACCCCTATTGTAACAAAAGACAAGAACGACTCCCTTTTAACAGCTGAGAAATACCACACTGTGAATGACTGTCAGAAATTCACAATCTGTTTCTCCATTGCTGCGTGCCTAGGTCTCCCATGTACTGGTTGCTGTAACTAATGCTCCAATAAACATACAACACTTTCCTTTTATTAGTGGTAGAAAGGTTTTTGTTGATTATTTTATTTTAATATGATATGTCTTTATTTCATAGTAGAATTCTGGTAACAATATAAATGTAGTGTTGAGTTTTGTTTTTTTTTTTTCCTGAAATGCACTACAATAACTGTGTTTCAATTATCATAGGATATAAACAGAAGAAAAGTTATGTTGCCTTATGGTTTGAGAGCTTGACCCATGATTGGTCCTATGCACGTATATAGAATGCAATGAAGATGGAAGTATATGAAAGAGGTGTTTCATATAATAGAAAACAGAAAACAAAACATAACAGGAAAAGGCCAGAAATATATATTGAAGGACACTTTCTCAGAGCCATCACTGAGAGAAGCCAAGATGGGAACTACAAAACTATAAAGAGACACGTTTTGCTTGCTTTCTCATTTGCCTCTCAGGAGCCACCGTTTAGATAACTTTCTTATAGAACCCAGGATAATTGCCCAGCAAATGGCAATGGTAACAGTAATCTGAGCCCTTCTACATCAATTAATAATTAAGAAGATCCCTCAAAGACATGTTCATATGGTAAAATAATAAAGAAATTCAGTTGTGATTTCTCATAGGATCCTGTTCTGTCAAAATATGCCAGTTTGATTGCTAGGACATTTCATCACCTGTCAGCTTGCCACACAAGCCTTTCACTCTAATGCTTCTACTCCTTGTTCCTGAAATCTCATTTTAATATCACTACATAAAACACAATCAAAATTTCAAAGTCCCCATCTTGAAATTTTTAAATAATTAAAAATTCAAAGACTTTTAAAAATCTAAGGTTTCTTAACTCTGAGCTCTTACAAAATATATAACAAGCAATATATGTCTTATTCTAAAATGAGAGATGTGAGGAATCATAAAACAAGCCAAAAATCCAGCACTGTAAATTCAAACCACATAGCTCCATGCTCAGCATCTGGAACTCCAAAACATTTGTGCAGGACCATTCTCCAGCAATGCCTTTTACAGAAAACACAGTTTGTCACTTATGTTCAAGCTGTCGCCCTTACATACCTGTCTTTGTCCCTGGAAATCATCCCCAGCACTGCCATTTCTGATATGCTGGGATACATGATGAAAGAAAAGGCAGAAGGAAACAGAACATTAAAACTATAAAACTATAGTTATAAACCTGTTATAACTGCTATAAAACTGTTTTTCTTAGAAATGGTTGTATAAATAATCCAGAACAATGACAATATCACTGGACATGCTAATCTGGAAGGGGAAATTTTCACAGAGTTCCACCCCTAGACAAAGAGCTATAGGCAACTAATGACTTCTGGAAGAGGGAGAGTTATCCTCTTCCAGGGATAATCCTAGAGTGGTGAGCCCTTGTCTCAGTTAGGGCCTCTATTGCTGTGAAGAGACACCATGACCATGGCAATGCTTACAAAGAAAAACATTTATTTGGGGCTAGATTACAAGCCAGAGGTTTAGTCCATTATCATCATAGCAGGAAGCATGGCAGTATGCAGGCTGACATGGCTGAGAGTTCTACATATGAATCTGCAGGCATCGGGAAGAAGGAATAACACTGGGCCTGGTTTCTGAAGCCTAAAAGCCTGCTCCCTTCCACATGTACTCCAACAAGGCCACCCATCCTAAATTCCCACTCTCCATGAGGCTATGAGGGACATTTTCAGCCAAATCATCACATGCCATGCCCTGGCCCCCATCCAATTGTAGTCATAGCATAATGCAGAAATGCATACACTTCAACTTCCAAAGTCCAAAGTTCAAAGTTTCTTCTGAGACTCTTGCACAGAATATACATTATTGCTCCAAAAGGAAGGAAAGGGACAATAGTGGGGAAATACTGGATAAAAGCATGACTGAAAACCAGCTGGGCAAACTCCAAACTCTGAATCTCTATGTCTAATGTCAATGTGCTCTTCAAATCCCCAACTCCTTTCAGCTTTGTTGACTGTAACTTCTCTTGGGCTCTTTCCATTCTCTGTTAGCAGTTTTCCTCAGGAGTTATCCCACAGCTCTGCATTGCCAACATTTTGGGGTCTCCAAGGCAGTCCAGACTTCACCTTTATAGCTTCTCACAATGGCCTCTCTAGATCTCCATGCCATGACACCCCTGACCCATGCCTGGTCTCAGCAGCTTTCCTCAGTGTAGTGGTCTGAAAAGAAATAGACCACGTAGACTCATGTGTTTCAGTGCATGTCCCATAGGGAGTGGCACCATTAGGTGTGGGATTGTTGGAGTAGGTGTGGCATTGTTGGAGGAAGTTTGTCAGAGTGGGGGCAGGCTTTGAGATTTCATATGCTCAAGCTATGCCCAGTGTGGCACAGTTTCTTTTACTGCTTGCAACTCAAGATGTAGAGCTCTTACCTCCTTCTCTAGCACTGTGTCTGCCTGCATACCACCCTATCTTCCTCCATGAGAATAATGAACTAAACTTCTGAACAGCCCCAACTGAATGTTTTGTTGTAAGAGATGCCATGGTCATAGTGTCCCTTCACAGCAATAAAACCCTAAGAAACTTAGCCATGGAGGGAGATTCCATAACCTCTTTCTGATATCCTTGACTCTAAATCCAAAACCACATGGCCAAAGCTGCCAGGTTCTGCTGCTTGTTGGATCTTGAACATGGTCCCTTCAGTCAATAACATTTTCATTACCTTTCTGTTTTTGATGGTTTCCTTCATTGCCTACGTTTGACAATTCTGAAACTTGCTCTATAGAGCAGGATGCCTTGAACTCGGAAATCTGCACTCTCTGCCTTGCAAGTGCTTGGATTAAAGGTATGCACCATTATGCCTGTCCCTCAGCTTTTCTGTAATTCCTTTCACTTTTCTGTAATTGCTCTTCACAACTTGGAAGCTTAGCTGTGTGGTGTCTTGCTCTGAAGTTACCACTCCCTTTATTTAAGTTAGCATCAGGCTTTTCTTTAATCTGTTTATGCATTTTAGTGTGCTTTATTTCCTCCAACTGTATATTTTGTATTTTTTCTTGCTCATCTTGCTCCTTTTCATTATCATATACTATAGATATGCACAAGAACAGCCACTAATAATGATGCAACTTAGTCACTGCTGAGTTGTTTTGCACTGTCCTCTGGTAAAGCTGTTCATCCATAATTTTTCAGTTTGGCCTGAGACACATTTTTTTTTTGGACAAGGGAGAAAGCAGCCATGTTCTTTACAAAAATATCACAAAATGGACTTTAGGGCACATGCTAATATTATTTTCCTCTGAAACCTCTTGAGCCAGGCCCCCACAGTTCAAATCACCCTTGGTACCACTGTCTTCCATGTTATACTATTATGACCTATTTAAAGCTACTTTTTCTATCCAATGTCCCAAAGTCCACATTCCTCCAAACAAAAACAAGGTCCAGTCTATTACAACAGCACCCCAGTTGCCACTTCCAACCTCTATCTTAGTTAGGGTTTCTATTGGAATGAAAAGATGCTATGAGTACAGAAATGCTGATAAACAAAATCATTTGATTGTGGCTAGATAACAGTTCAGGGGTTTAGTCCATAGTCATCATGGCAAGAAGCATGGCAGCATGTAGGCAGACATGGCGTGGAGTAGGAGCTGAGCTTTCTACATCTGGATTGGTAGGCAGCTTGAAAATAGAGTGAGCCAGTGGGCCTGGATTGAGCTTCTAAACCTTAAAGCCTACCCCTCCATGACAAATTTCCTCCAACAAGATGACATCTACTTAAAAAGCCATACCTCCTAATAGCGCCACTCCCTGTGAGCCTATGGAGGCTATTTTCATTCATACCACCACAGACAGCCCTGAAACTACATAAAGACAAACAATAAACACTAGGAAGGTGCCATATATATGTGTATGTGTGTGTGTAGGGGGGGAGAGACAGATAGACAGACAGACACACACACACACACACACACACAGAGAGAGAGAGAGAGAGAGAGAGAGAGAGAGAGAGAGAGAGATTGTGTATGATGCTGGTGATTGAATCCAGGGCCTCATATATCCTAGGTGTATTCTCTAGACCAGAGACAAATTTGTAGACCATTTTACGAAGGTTTATATGTGAGCATAGTATATATTTTTGGATTGTTACAATCAAATATTCGGCCTGTCAGATAGCTCAGTGGCTAAAAGTACTTGCTACAAGTCTGATCACCTGAGTTTAATACCCAGGACCTATATGGTAGACGACTGAGCCAACTCTTGCCAGCTGTCATTCAGAACACATGCACACACAGATAATTCACTAACACATGCATCCCCCTGCACACACATGAGGGAAGAGATAAAATTAAACACACACACACACACACACACACACACACAATACAGTGGAGTGTGTATGAATGCTTATATTTTCTTCAGGCTACATATGTGGTTAAAAACAATCTTTTCACTATGAAAGACAGTCCTGATGAGACCTGATAGGCTAGGGTCAGATGGAAGGGGAGGAGGATCTTCACTATCAGTGGACTGGGGAAGGGGCATGGGAGGAGATGAGGAAGGGAGGGAGGCTGGAATGGAAGGGAATGAGGGAGGGAGGGAAGACTGGAATGGAAGGCGATGAGGGAGGAGGCTACAGCTGGGATACAAAGTGAATAAATTGTAATAAAAATTATATTAAAAATCTTCTCTTGAATAACAGTGACTTCATGCTTATCTATATCCATATGCATCCAGTTAGTCCATAAAAGAAGCTTACTTTACAGTTGCTTCATTCTTATTCTCTTTTTACTCTATTATGTTTTATTTTTATTGAAAATAGATTTTGGATTTTGATTTATTTTGTTTTGTTTTTCTTCCTGCTTTATTTTTTTCAGTTTATTTATTTTACATCCCAAGGGTGCTCCTCCTTCCTCCCAGTTCATTCCCTTCCCCATCTGTCCCTCTTTCCCTCTCCCATTTTCCCTGGAACAGGGAAGCCACTGTCTCCCTATATCAACCCTACCCAGCACATTAAGTCACATTAGGACTGAACATACCTTCATTCACTGAGACCATGGAAGGTAGCCCTGCCAGGGGGAAGTGATCCAAAAGGAGGAAATAGAGTCCATGTTAGAAATAACACCTCCATCTACTCACTAGAAGCCCCATAAAAAAACCAAGCCACCATCAGCCACATGTGTGCAAGGGGCCTAGGTCCAGACCATGCATGCTCTTTAGTTGATGTCTCAGTCTTTGGAAGTACCCATGGGACTAGGTTGTCTCTATTGGTCTTTTGTGAGGTTCCTGCCCCCTCCAGGTTCTTCCATCTTTCCTCTAACACTTCCACAGGACCCCTGCTGCTTCACCCTTTGGTTGGCTTCAAGTCCCAGCATATGTCTCAATATGCTGCTGGATGGAGCCTGGAGGACAGTCAAGTTAGGCTCCTGTCTGCAAGTATAGCAGAGTATCATTAATAGTGTCAGGGACTAGCTCTCTACCATGGGGTGTGTCTCAGGTTGGGGCAATTATTGGTTGGACATTGCCTCAATCTTTGTTCCTTCTTCTTGCAGGCAAGGTAATTTTCAGATCAAAGGATTTGTTGGTGGGTTATTGTTCTCCTTCCACTAGTCTCACCTGGCTAGGAGGTGGTCACTTCAATCTTCATGTCTCCCCATGTTAGGAGTCTCAGCTAGAGTCACATCCATATCCTACCCTGACATCAGGGTTGACATCTGTGGTCTCTTAGGGTCTACAAGGTATCTTCCCAAACAGTTCTTGCTTTTAGAGTTTCTGGTGAGAAGTCAGGTGTAATTCTGATAGGTCTGCCCCCTGCATGCTTCCACCTACAGGACCTCACACCTATGCATCCTTTGAGGCTGGCAGCACCCAGGGACCACCAGAGTGCAGCCCCCATATTAGGCCAAGTAGGGCAAACAAGTGAGACCTCTTGTGCCAAACCATTACTTGTACCAGGCCCCAGGGCAAGCACAGCCGTATCTGTATCAGAAGCCTGGAGACATAAGGAACCACCAGGTAAGTCTCACACCTCCAATCCTCCTAAAACAGTTCCCAAAGAGGTAAACTCCACCTTCTCCCCAACATGCCATTTTCTGACTCACAACTCACTCTACCTGAGGCCTGCCACTACCAGAGACAACGAGATAACTAAAGGCCAGCATAAAAACACAAATAACAAGATCCTTAGTGATATGGAAACCTCAGAACACAACTATTATACTACAGCAACTACAAGATATCTTAACACAGTGAGAAACAATTAGATGACCTTAAATCCATGCAGATGAGGGAGGCCTTTAAAAATGAAATGAATAAATACCTTAAAGAAACACAGGAAAACACAATTAAAGCAGTGAAGAAAGTGAATAAAACTTAGCCATTCTAATGGGTGTGAGATAGAATCTCAGGGTCATTTTGATCTGCATTTCTCCAATGACTAAGGACTTTGAACATTTCTTTAAGCATTTCACTGCCATTTGATATTCCTCTGTTGAGAAACTCAAGGAATGACACATGCTGGAGAGGTTGTGGAACCCTTCTCCATTGCTGGTGGGAATGTAACCTTATACAACCACTTTGGAAATCAACCTGGCACCTTCTCAGTCAAGATCCAGCTATACCACTCCTGGGCATATGCCCGAAAGATGCCCCACCATTCAACAAGAAAATTTGCTCAACTATGTAATAGCCAGAATCTGGAAACAACCTAGATTTCCCTCAGTGGAAGAATGGATACAGAAAGTGTGGTACATTTATACAGCAATTAAAACCAAGGAAGTCATGAAATTTGCAGGCAAATGGTGGGAACTGGAAAAGATCACCCTGAGTGAGGTAACCCAAAAGCAGAAAGACACATATGGTATACTTTTCACATATATAGGATAAACATACTAAAATCTATAGTCCCAAAGATGCTAAACAACAAAGAGGACCCTAAGGAAGAGGCTGAAACCTCACTCAGAAGGGCAAACAGGATAGACTTTGGAAGTAGAAGACAAGGAACAGGACAGGAACCTTTCACAGGGGCTCTGAAAGACTCTACCTATCAGGGTATTGAACTAAATACTGAAATTCACAGCCAAACTTTGGACAGAGTTTGAGAAACCTTATGAAAGAAGAGAGAGATTGAAAGCCTGGAAGAGACAGCAACTCCACAAGGGAACCAACAGAGCCAAAAACCTGGGTCCATAGGGACCATGCAGAGACTAATACTCCAACCAAGGACATGCATGGAAAGGATCTAGACCCCTGCTCAGTTTCCAAGTGGGTTCCCTAGTAAGGGGGGCAGGGACTGTCTCTGACATGAACTCAGTGGCTGTCTCTTTGATCACACCCCTCCGGTGGGATGCAGCCTTGCCAGGCCACAGAGGAAGACGATGCAGCCAGCCCTGATGAGACTTCATAGGCTTTGGTCAGTTAGAAGGGGAGGAGGTCCTCCCTTATCTGTGGATTAAGGAAGGGGCACAGGGGGAGAAGAGGGAGGGTGGGTTGGACAGGGAGGAGATGTAGGGAGCTACAGACAGGATACAAAGTGAATAAATTATAATAAACAAACAAATATTTAAAAAAGAAATTGAATAAAACTGTTCAAGACCTGAAAATGGAAGTAGATGCAAGCATCACCAACAGAGTAGAAGATATGGGAAAGAGAATCTCAGGGGTAGAAGATACAATAGAAGAAATTGAAATATTAGTCAAAGAAAATCCTAAATCTAAAAAATTCTTGACAGAAAACATCCAGGAAATCTATGAAAAGACCTAACCTACAAATAATAGGAATAGAAGAAGGGGAGGAGTTTCAGCTCTAAGGACCAGAAAATAATTTCAACAAAATCATAGAAGAAAATTTTCCCAACCTAAGGAAAAAAATATCTGTAAACATACAAGAAGTATACAGAACACCAATTAGACTGGACCAGAAAAGAAATTCCTCTTGCCACATAATAATGAAAACACTAAATCTAGAGAACAAAGAAAGAATATTAAAAGCCAAAAGAGAAAAGAATAAGTACCAAATGAAGGCAGACCTATCAGCATCAGACCTGATTTCCCCACAGAGATTCCAAAAGCCAGAAGAACCTGGGCAGATGATTTGCAAATCCTAAGAGACAACAGATGTCAGCCCAAGACCACTATACCCAGTAAAACTTACAATTACCATAAATAGAGAAAACAAGATATTCCAAGACAAAACTATATTAAAACAATATCTATCTACACACTCAGCCCTACAAAAAAAATGCTAGAAGGAAAACTGTATCCCAAGGAGGGTAAGTACATATAAGAAAATAAAAGAAAGAAATAATTCCACACCACCAAAAACAAAAGTAAGAAAGCACACAAAAACACTAACACACTAACACCACCAACATCAAAATAATAGGAAGTAAGAATCTTTGGTCATCAGTATCTCTCAACATCAATGGTCTAAATTCACCAATAAAAAGACACAGGATAACAAAAATTGTTGCAAAAACAGGATCCATCATTCTGCCGCATACACAAAACACACTGAAAAGAAACGTCACTATTGCAAAACCCAAAGTAGATAAGCACACAAACATACTTCCACAACCAATATCAAAATAAAAGGAGCTAGTTATTAATCTCTCTCAACATCAATGGACTCACCTCTCAAAAAAAAAAAAAAAGACACAGACTAGCAGAATGGATGTAAAAAAAAGTACCCATCATTCTGCTGCATACAAGAAACACACTTCAGCCACAAAGATAGACATTTCCTGAGAGTAAAGGGCTGGAAAAAGCAAATGGATTTCCAAGCAAATGGATCCAAGAAGCAAGCTGAAGTAGGAATTCTAACATCTAATAAAATAAACTTTCATCCAAAATTAATCAAAAGGGATGGGAAAGGATACTTCATACTCAACAAAGGAAAAATCCACCAAGATGATATCTCAATTCTGAACATCTATCCCCCAAATACTAGGGCACCCTCATTTGTAATAAAGCTTAAACCACAATTGATCCCCAAACATTAATACTGGGAGACTTCAATATCCCACTCTCACTAAAAGACAGATCAACTAAACAGAAATTAAACAAAGAAATAATGACACTAGCAGATGCCATGAATCAAATGGACCTAACCAACATCTACAAAACTTTTACTCAAACACAAAAGAATATGCCTTCTTTTCAGCACCTCATGGAAACTTCTCCAAAACTGACCATATAGTCAGTCAGAAAGAAACCCTCAACAGATACAAGAAGATTGAAATAATTCCTTGTATCCTATCTGACCACCATGGACTAAAGCCTGACATCACCAACAACAGAAATAGCAAAATCCCTACACACACATGGAAACTGAACAACTCTCTACTCAATGACAACTAGGTCAAGGAAGAAAAAAAGAAAGAAATTAAAGACTTTCTAAAATTCAATGAAAATAAAGGCACAACATAACCAGACTTATGGGACACAATAAAAGCAGTGCTAACAGGAAAGTTCATAGCACTAAGTGCCTTCATAAAGAGATCGGAGACATCTCATATAAGCAACTTAACAGCACACCTAGAAACACTAGGAAAAAAAGAAGCAGGCTCACCCAAGAGAAGTAGACAGCTGCAAATAATAAAACTTAAGATTGGAATCAATAAATTAGAAAAAAAAGAGAATAATTCAAAGAATCAACAAAACCAAGAGTTGGTTCCTTGAGAGAATCAACAAAACAGACAAACCCTTGACCAAACTAACTAAAAGTCAGAGAGAGAGAGAGAGAGAGAGAGAGAGAATCCACTTTTACAAAATCAGAAATGAAAAGGGGGACATAGCAACAGACACTGAGGAAATCCAAAGAATCTTTGGATCTTATTACAAAAACCTATCCTCCACAAAATTGGAGAATATAAACAAAAAGGAAAAATTCCTAGATAGATGTCATTTATTGAAGCTAAATCAATATCAGGTAAACTATTTAAATAATCCTATAAACCCTAAGGAAATAGGAGACATCATTTAAAGTCTCCCATAAAAAAATAGAAACAAACCCAAGGAACAGATAGTTTTAGCGCAGAATTCTACCAGACATTCAAAGAAGAGCTAATACCAATATTCCTGAAACTATTCTATAAAATAGAAACAGAAGGAATCTTGTCAAATCCATTCTATGAGGCCACAGTCACCCTGATAACTAAACCACACAAAGACCAACATAGAAATAGAACTTCAGAGCAGCTTTGTCGGCCACAGAGGGGAACATTGCAGCCAGTCCTGATAAGCTAGGGTCAGATGGAAAGGGAAGAGGACCTCCCCTATCAGTGGACTCGGAGAGGGGCATGGGAGGAGATGAGGGAGGGAGAGTGAGATTGGGAGGGAATTAAGGAGGGGGTAACAGCTTGGATACAAAGCAAATAAAATGTAATTAATGTAAAAAAATAAAAAATTTAATTAAAAAAATAAATAGAACTTCAGACCAATGTCTCTTATGAACATTGATGCAAAAATACTCAATAAAATACTTTCAAACTGAATCCAGGAACTCATGAAAAATACCATCCACCATGACCAAGTACACTTCATACAAGGCATGCAGAAATGGTTCAACATACAAAAACCTTCAATGTTATCCATCATATAAACAAACTGAAAGAAAATAAAAACACATGATCATCTCATTATTTGCTAAAAAGGACTTAGAAAAATCCAAAATCCCTTCATGTTTATAGTCTAGAGAGATCAGGAATACAAGGCACATACCCAAACACAATTAAGGTAATATACAGCAAGCCAACATCCAACATCAAGTTAAATGGAAAGAAACTTAGATCTATCCCAGTAAAATCAAGGACAAGACACTCTCAGTAAAATCAAGGACTGCCCACTCTCTCCATATCTATTCAATATAGTAATTGAAGTTCTAACTTAGAGCAATAAGACAACTAAAGGAGTTAGGTGGAACTAACTTCAGGAAATGGAAATTGGAAAGGAAGAAGTTGAAGTACTGCTTTTCACAGATGATATGGTAGTATCTGACTCTCAATTCTACCAGGGAACTCCTATAGCAAAGTGTTACAAAATTAACTTAAAAAAATCAGTAGCCCTCCTGCATAAAACTGACAAATGGGCTGAGAAAAAAAATTAGGGAAACAATATCCTTTATAGTAGCCACAAATAATATAAAATATCTTGCTGTAACTCTAATTAAGCAAGTGAAAGACCTGTATGCCAAGAACTTTAAGTCTTTGAAGAAAGAAATTAAAAAAGATTTTAGAAGATGGAAAGATCTTCCATGCTCATGCAT